TCTTACCTAGTTTCTAGTACTTCAGGGTGCTCCAAGCTCATCTTGTATATTTCTTTTTTTAATTTTATTTATTTAAGAGAGAGAGCACAAGTGGGGGAGAGGGGCAGAGGGAGAGGCAGAGGGAAAAGCAGACTCCCTGCCGAGCAGGGAGCCGGGTGCAGGGCTCTATTCCAGGACCCGGAGATCATGACCTGAGCCGAAGGCAGACGCTTAACTGACTGAGCTATCCAGGCACCCTCATATTGTATATTTCTTGCTCCAGTTTTAGAATAAGTCATTTCTCCATGAAGCCCTGGTTCCTTTATTGAAGATTTTTTTTTTTTACTGAGATCTGGGAGACCTTTTTTTTTTTTATCTGGGAGACCTTTGACCCCCTTTACCCATTTCTCCCACCTACCACTCTTCTCTGGCAACCACCAATTTGTTCTCTGAGCTTGTATTTTTTGTTGGTTTGTTTTTAAGATTACACATATAAGAGAGATCATACAGTATTTTTCTTTCTCTGACTTTATTTCCCTTATCAGAATTCCCTCGAAGTACATCCATGTTGTTGCAAATGGTAAGATTTTATTCTTTTTTTTTTTTTTTAAAGATTTATTTATTTATTTTGAGAGAGTGAGAATGAGAGAGAGAGAGAGTACATGAGAGCGGGGAGGGTTAGAGGGAGAAGCAGGCCCCCCGCCGAGCAGGGAGCCCGATGCGGGACTCGATCCCGGGACTCCAGGATCATGACCTGAGCCGAAGGCAGTCATCAACCAACTGAGCCACCCAGGCGCCCCCAGATTTTATTCTTTTTATGGCTGAATAATATTCCTCTGTGTGTGTGTGTGTGTGTGTGTGTGTGTAGATAAATTTCTTTATCCATTCATCTGTTGATGGACATTTAGGTTGTTTTCATATCTTGGCTATTGTAAACCAAGTAAAGTGCTGCAGTGAACATGAGGGTGCATATATCTTTCCCAGTTAGTGTTTTCACTTTCTTTGGATAAATACCCAGAAGGAGTTGCTGGATATAGGGTAGTTCTATTTTAATTTTTTAAGGAACCTCCATACTGTTCCAGAGTGGTTGCCCCAATTGACACTGCCATCAGCAGTGCACAAGGGTTCCCTTTTCTCCACATCCTCAGCAACACCTGTTATGTCTTGTCTTTTTCATAATAATCATTCTCACAGGGCGCCTGGGTGGCTCAGTCGTTGGGCATCTGCCTTTGGCTCAGGTCATGATCCCTGCTCAGCGGGAAGCCTGCTTCTCCCTCTCCCACTCCCCCTGCTTGTGTTCCCTCTCTCGCTGTGTCTCTCTCTGTCAAATAAATAAATAAAATCTTTAAAAGAAATAATCATTCTCACAGCTGTGGGGTGATACATCATTGTATTGTTTTGATTTGCATTTGCCTGATGATCAGTGATGTTGAGCATCTTTTTATGTATCTGTTGGGCACCTGTATGTCTTCTTTGGAAAAATGTTCAAATGTCTTCTCTGGGAAAATATTCAAATCTGCCTATTTTTAAATCAGATTGTTTTTTGTTATTAATATTTATGAGTTCTTTATGTATTTTGGATATTAATCTCTTACCAGATATGATTTGCAAACATATTTGCAAATCAGTCAGTGTGATACACAACATTAAGAAAATGAAAATCACATCATTTCAATAGATGCAGAAAAATCATTTGACAGAATTAAACATCCATTTATAATTTAAAAAAAAAAACTCTCAACAAAATGTATATTGAGTGTGTATTGCCTGCCAAGAAGTAGATGAGTGTTCTTTTAATCCCTGTAATTCAATCAGATAGGTATTGTTATATCCATGTTACAGTTGAGAAAACTCACGGTTTGGTTAAATAATTTGCTTAAGTTCATACATGTAGTAACTAGTACAGCTGGGACTTAACCTCATGTCAGTGTGACTCCAAAGTATGTACTCTTAGTCACTATGTATTCTCTATAGCAGGATTTCTTTACTTTGGAATTTCTGACACTTTGGGCTGGACAATTCTCCATTACAGAACACTGTCTTGTGCATTGTAGGATGTTTAGCAGGATCCCTGGGCTTCTCTCACTAGATGCCAGTAAGAGTCCCCAGTTGTGACAGCCAAAACTGTCTCCAGACATTGTCAGACTTCCCCTGGTACGAGATTGCTCCTAACCCCTGGCTTAGAGATGTATAATAAAATGAACCCTGAAAGTTGAATTGCATCCGTACTGGGAGAATTGTCAATTGGGTAGAAAGCTGTATCCGAACTTCCCTGAATGTAATGACTCTTATAATTGGGCAAGCTCTTTGGGGAACAGTGAGTGCTCTGCTCATAGTTGTTAAAAGAGATACTGGCTCTTGTGGGAAGGCTTTTCAGTCAATATGCTTTCTGCACAACCTATGTGGATCTCTTGACTTGGCTATATCGTATGAAGACTCCCATGAAGAACAGTGCCAGTTACTCACTCTGCTAGCAAGCTGTGTTTTCTGTTCAGTGGCCTTCTGAACAAACTGGTGCCAGATACGGCCCATGTAGTCTTGTGAGTCTAAATGTTTAGTTGAGCCTGTGACCTCCCTGGTGGACATTGCAGACAGGCCCATAGTGAGTCCTAACAAATGAAAACTTGTAATCATTATAATCTGGGAATGTACTTTTTTTAGTTGAATAAAATTGACATACAATATTAGTTTCAGGTATACAACATATTGATTCTGCAGTTCTATACAGTACTCACCAAGATGAGTGTTGTTACCATCTGTCACCATGTTATTATATTACTACCTATATTTCCTGTGCTGTACTTTTCATCTCTGTGACTTATTTTGTAACTGAAGTTTGTACTTCTTAATTCCCTTTATTTTTCATATCTACCCCCCGCCACCTCCACTCTGGCAACCACCAATTCTCTATATTTAAGAGTCTTTTTGTTGGTTTGTTTGTTCATTTGTTTTGGCTTTTAGGTTCCATGTGTAAGTGAAATCATAACGGTATTTATTTTTCTCATCTTATTTCACTTAGCATAATACCCTCTAGATCCATCCATGTTGTTGCAAATAGCAAGGTCTCATCCTTTTTTATGGCTGTGTAATATTCCATTGTATATGTATACTACTACTTTATCCATTCATCTTCTGTTGCTTTCATATCTTAGCTGTTGTAAATAATTCAGTAAACATAGGGGTACATATATCTTTTCAAATTAGTGTCTTCATTTTCTTTGGCTAAATACCCAGTGGTGAAATTACTAGATCGTATTGTATATCTGTTTTTAATTTTTTGACAAACCTCCATACTGTTTTCCACAGTGGTTGCACCAATTGACATTCCCACCAACGGTGCACAAGGTTCCCTTTTCTCCACATTCTTACCACTTGTTATTTCTTGTCTTTTTGATATTAGCCATTTTCTGACAGGTGTGAAATGATAGCTCATTGTGGTTTTGATTTGCATTTCCTGATGATTATTGATGTTGAGCATCTTTTCATATACCTGTTGGCCATTTGTATACCTTCTTTGGGACAATGTCTATTCAGGTCCTCTGCCCATTTTTTAATCGAATTTGTGTGTGTGTGTTGGTGTGTGTTGTGTGTGTGTCAGTGTGTGTATCGAGATGTACAAATTATATATTTTGAATATCAACCACTTCCCAGATATGTCCTTTTCAAATATATTCTTTCATTCAGTAGGTTGCCTTTTTGTTTTGTTGATGGTTTCTTTTACTGTGCAAAAGTTTTTATTTTGATGTAGTCCCAACAGTTTAGTTTTGCTTTTGTTTTTCTTGTCTGAGGAGACATACCCATAAGTATGTTGCTAAGGTTGATATCCAAGAAATTACTTCCTGTATTTCTGTTAGGAGTTTGATGGCTTCGGATCTCATATTTAGGTTTTTAAATCCATTTTGAGTTTATTTTTGTATATGGTGTAAGAAAGTGGTCCAGTTTCATTCTTTTGCTTATAGCTGTCCAGTTTTCCAGCACCATTTATTGAAAAGACTGTCCTTTCCCCATTGTATATTCTTGCCTCCCTTGTCATAGATTAATTAACCATATAGGTATGGGTTTTTTCCTGTGCTCTCTACCCATTGATCTATGTGTCTGTTTTTGTGTCATTGAAATGTACTTTTTGATTTATCCCTGACAATGAAATGACTCACATTATTTTTTAAATAATTGTTTCTTAACTTAATTTCTAGTGGTATTTCCAATTTTACTCATTTTATAGAATCTTATTGATATTTTAGTGAGTATTTTTTAGGTATCGATAGTATAAAGCCTTAATAACTTGACTTCTGAAGATGTGTTTTGCTTAGTTTTAAAACAAAAATGTGTTGGGGCACCTGGGTGGCTCAGTTGGTTAAGTGTCTCTCTTTGGCTCAGGTCATGATCCCAGGGTCCTGGGATTGAGCCCCACGTTGGGCTCCCTGCTCAGCCCAGAGTCTGCTTCTCCCTCTCCCTCTGCCTGCCACTCCCCCTGCTTGTGCTCTCTCTCTTTCTCTCTGTTAAATAACTAAATAAAATTTTTAAAAAATAAAGCAAAAATGTGTTGTCACCTGGTACAGGAGAAATCTAATTGCAATTAAATTATGAGGTTTGTTTTAAAAGGACTGTTTCATTTATCACTTTTTGTGTGATGTCTGTGTTTTCTTTTTGATGGGTGGTGAAGGGAAAGAGACAGTATATTTTCTTGTTATAAAAAAGGGAAACAAGAATGGAAGAATAATCCATAATATTTATATTATTAGACAATTTTAAGAATATTATTTGTATTACTTTATCTTTTAACAGTATGCTAAAACATGTTCATTAAATATAGGTCATATTGGTGTCTTTTTTCATTCTCTCAGGTACCTGAATGTTGGCTTTCTGTCTGAAGCTCCTGGAACTTTTCTCTTATTGAGATAGAACTTGGCTGAAATCACATTGCACATATATTGTACACAAGTGCTTAGCCCAAGCCCAAGAATTACTATAATCCTCTAGTTAGACAAATTCAAACTACAGTGGGAGTTCTGTCCAGGAAGATGCAGTCTCTGAACAAGTTGATGGCTATCTCAAAACCTCAAAACCTGATTCTACATGAACAAAGTAAGGCCCTGAGAGCAGATGTGTCCTGGCAACAGGAATCCATCCCAGTCATGGAAACCTGCGACTCTGAGGCCTCTCGTCAAAGGTTCAGAAATTTCCAGTATTTGGCAGTGTCTGGGCCTCATGAAGCCCTGTGCCAACTCTGGGAGCTCTGTCTTCAGTGGCTGAGACCAGAGGTTCATACAAAGCAGCAGATCCTAGAACTGTTGGTGCTAGAACAATTTCTGACAATTCTCCCTGAAGACATCAGGACTTGGGTGAATTTACAACATCCAAGGAACAGCAAAGAAGTGATGACCCTCATAGAGGATGTGATTGAAATGCTTAAAGATGAAGGTGAGAATGTAGAAAATTGGCAGTAGAATAATAGTTGAACTTTATGTGGAATCTAAAAAAAAAGAGGGAAATGAGCTCATAGATACAGAGAACAGATTGGTGGTTGCCAGAGGTGGGGGTGGGGAGGATGGGCAAAATGGGTGGAGGGTCACAAGGTATAGAAACTTCCAGGTATAAAATAAGTCATGGGGATGTAATGTACAGGGTAGTGACTATAGTGGATAATATTGTATTGCATATTTGAAAGTTGTTAAGACATTAGATCTTAAGAGCTCTCATTACAAGAAAAAACTTTTTGTAACTATATATGGTGACAGATGTTAACTAGACTTATTGTGGCGGTCATTTTGCAATATACATAAATATTGAACCATTACGTTGTACACCTGAAGCTAATACAGTTGACCCTTGAACAACATGGGTTTAAACTGTGTGGGTCCAATTATACATGGGTGTTTTTCAATAAATACAGCACAGTACTGTAAATGTATTTTCTCTTACGATTTTCTTAACACTTTCTTTTCTCTAGCTCACTTTATTGTAAGAATACTGTATGTAATACATATATATAATATGCCTTAGACTGCTTATGTTATTGGTATGGCTTCTGGTCAGTGGTCGGCTATTAGTAGTTAAGTTTTGGGGGAGTCTAAAGTTATATGCAGATTTCCAACTGCGCAGGAGGTTGGTGCCCCTGAAGCATCTGCCTGCGGCTCAGGTCATGATCCCAGGGTCCTGGGATCGAGCCCCACATCGGGCTCCCTGCTCAGTGGGAGGCCTGCTTCTCCCTCCTCCACTCCTCTGCTTGTGTTCCCTCTCTCGCCATTTATATGTCTCTGTCAAATAAATAAAATCTTTAAAAAAAAAAAAGGAAAAGAAATTATCTTTTTCTGAAGCCAAGAGGGTGTCAAGGGCCAGAACATGAAGGACTTTACTATTTAAGGAAGCATGGATTTTATTCTGTAGGAAATAGAAATAGAGAATGAGATCTCACAGCATGTGTAGGGGAGTAAAATGATTTGATTTGCCTTTTAAAATATTTTGGGGTGCCTGGGTGGCTCAGTCGTTAAGCGTCTGCCTTCGGCTCAGGTCATGATCCCAGCGTCCTGGGATCGAGCCCCGCATCGGGCTCCCTGCTCAGCAGGAAGCCCGCTTCTCCCTCTCCCACTCCCCCTGCTTGTGTTCTTTCTCTCACTGTGTCTCTCTGTCAAATAAATAAAATCTTTTTAAAAAAATAAAATATAATTTTGATATCAATATAGAGTAGTGGTTGGCAAACTATGGCCCAAAGCCCAAATGTTTTTGGAGCTAGTGTTTTTGGAACACAGCCATGCCCACTGATTTACATTTAGTCTACAGTTGCTTTCATGCCATGACCAGAGTTGATTAGTTGTAGCAGAGACTGTATTGCCTACAAAACCCAGAATATTTACTATCTGGATCTTCACAGAAAAAGTTTATCAACATCTTGTTTAAAGGATAGACCTGAGGACTCTGAAAACAGGAAAATCAGTTAAGATAGGTGAGGTGTTAAAGGATGAGGGAGTATTGGGAAAACAGGAGTTTGAACCTAAAGGAATTATGGACTGCATATAAGGTGTGAGAGGGATAAGGTTTGATGTAAATGTGCATGTTCTGCCATACATGAATGGGCATAAGTAGCAGATTTTATGGGAGGGGATTTATACAGTAATTATGTGGCGTGTTGAATTTGAGATCTCTATGGGTTTGGAAAGTTACAGGTATGAACAGAAGTAGGAGAAATACATACCCTTAGGGAGCATCAATATTTAAGGGCTATTATAGCTCTAAGTACCCATTACAGGAAATACGAAGGATGGAGGAACATGTTAAATTATATCATGGGAATGCCATTAGTAAAATCTAAACTCTGGGAAACTACAAGATAATCCAGTTTCTAAAACAAAATAGTTTTATTTTTTTTTAAGATTTTATTTATTTAGAGAGAGCATGCATGCACAAGCAGGGTGAGAGGGAGAGCGAGAGAGAAAGAGAGAGAATCTCCAGCGGACTCTGCACTGAGCGCAGAGCCCAGCGTGGGGCTCCATCTCATGACCCTGAGGTCACGACTGAGCTGAAATCAAGGGTTGGACATTTAACCTGTTGAGCCACCCAGGCACGCCTCTAAAACAAAATAATTTTAAGGGAGAAGTGGGGATATGGACGAGGGATTTAGAAATTAAATGTAAAAGATGTATAGCCAATCACATGAATGTGTGAACCGTGTAAGTCATGAGGCAGTTGACTGGATATTTGACAAGGAATTATTGACTGGGGAGAGTGATGATATTGTTGCTATATTTAGTCCTTATTTGAAAAAGAAATAAAGGATTAAACAGAAGAAGAAAAGCCAGGTAAGCAGGCTAGAAAAGCATAATCTAGGACATCAGAGAACCAAGAAATGTTAGTATCTTGAGCTAAGAAAAGAGAAATCTTCAAGAAGGGAGTGTTCAGCAATGCTGTGACAAAAAGTGTCTCCTATTAAGATGAATATTGAAAGTAATTTACTGAAATTGTTGACTATGAAGTAATTGTTAAGCTTTATAACAGTTTCAGAGAAGGAGTTGTGGTGCTTATTTGTAGTTAGTTATATTAGTTTTCTATTACTGTCATAACAAATGACCACAAAGTCAGTGGCTTAAAACAATGTGAATGTGGAGGGGAGGGGCAGAGGGAGAAGGGGAAGCAGACTACTTGCTGAGCAGGGAGCCTGATACGGGACTCTATCCCAGGACCCTGAGATCATGACCTGAGCTGAAGGTAGACAGTCGGCTGAGCCACCCAGGTGCACACAAGGTGTCCTCTTGATACAGAAAAAGCATTTGACAAAATCCAGTGCCCTTTCATGATAAAAGCACTCAACATACTAGGAATAGAAGGGAATTTCTTCTACCTGATAAAGGGCATCTATGAAAAACCTACAGGAAGCATCATACTTAATGGTTAAAGACTGAAAGCTTTACCCTTAGGATAAGGAACAAGACAAGGATGCCCACTCTGGCCACGTCTGTTCAACATTATACTGGAGGTACTAGCCGGTGCAACAAACAAGAAAAAGAAATAAAAGGCATCCTAATTGGAAAGGAAGAAGTAAAGCTACCTTTACTGTCACGTGATCTGTTCTTATGCAGTTGATCCTTGAACAACATGGGTTTAAAATACATGGGTCACAATATGTGAATTTTTTTTTAAGATTTCATAGCAAAAGCCATAAGGCATTTACTTAAAACTGCCCACCCCAATCTCCACAGTTCCAGTGGAAGACGACTGGTTCAGAGTTCACACCTACTGCCCTTTGAGCACCCCGAGAGGCCTGCAGAGCCCGTCAGCAGCCCTTTTTTTTCCTGGGACTGGGTTACCTGTCAATTTTTTTCATTAAAAATAATTTTAAAAAGACAGCCTGTGTTCATGTATTGGATGACTTAATGTTTTTAAGATGATAATACTCTCTGAAGCACTCTGCTGTTTCATTTTTTTTTCATAGCAAAATTCCAGCTACCTTTTTTTGCAGAAATAGACAAGCTGATCCTAAAATGCATATGAAGTTACAAAGGAGTCCAAATAACCAAAACAGCCTTGATGAAGAACAAACTTTAAGGATGCGTACTTTCAATTTCAAAACTTACTACAAAGCTACAGACTTTAGTTAGGACAGAATTAAAGTTATTTTTTGGAATCTGCTGTAGCCACAGATGAAGCCTCAAAATATTATTTTGGCCTTCTTCTCCCTGATCCGATACTTCAACTTCTGGTAGAATATCAGAATCATTTTTAGAGCTCTTATTTTATTTTTATTTATTTGAGAGAGAGAATGAGAGAGAGCATGAGGGGGGGAGGGTCAGAGGGAGAAGCAGACTGTCCCCCGAGCAGGGAACCCAATGTGGGACTCGATCCTGGGACTCCAGGATCATGACCTGAGCCGAAGGCAATCGCTTAACCAACTGAGCCACCCAGGTGCCCATTTTTAGAGTTAACATCTGAGCTCCACCTTTGGAGATTCTGATTGCTGGTAGGGCCTGACATCGTTATTTTTCCAAAGCTCTAAAGATGATTCCTATGAATAGCATGTTAAAATGACTACTATAATCATTAAATGTTTCTCCAGGGCAAATCTTGTCTCCCTAATGTTTTCCTTCATCTTCCTCAGAGATACCCTGCAAGGATTGTGTCATCCTCCAGAAGGGGAACATCAAGGAGAAAATGGAAACTGACTCACTAACTGGCAATTCTCAGGTGAATTAGGATTCCTACTCTTTACTGAAATGATCTGCTTTTTCTTTTTCCACTTTTGAACTTTTGCTAAATATAGGTCCGTTTAAGGACGTAAGACTGTTACTTCTCCCATAGGACATTGGATCTATTTTATTTTAATTGATGATACACTCTTTGGAAAATACTTAATCTTTGTATTTTTCTGTGCATCTGTTCCCTCAGGGTTGTAGACAATAATCAAAGCCATAGAAATAGAGCCCACCAGAGAATGTTTAAAATTAAAAGTGAAGGGAGCCAAGGGCAGAATCCTCAGTAACGTCACTGAATAGGCAGGAGCAGAAGAAACCCCAAAGGATACTGAAATGAAAGCACCAAAGTGGTAGAGGAAAACCAAGAAGATACCATGTCACTGAAAGCCAAGGATGAGAGTATTTCAAGGATAAATCCTTTAAAAATTCAGGAAAATTCAGCCTGAATATACCCATTCCCTTAACCATCACGGAGATACTACCATGCATGGGAATAGAAGCCAGGTTGCAGAGGGTTGAGGGAAGAAGGTGAGGAAGGAGGCAAAACTAACATAGATGATTTACTCAGAGTCATCCGATGTGTTAGAGTTGTCTGGCTCTGCAGTAGAGGGAGGGGAGAGATGTGTATTTCATTGTGACTGAAGGTGCCCATCACGACAAGGTTGGGAATGCTAGAGAGGGAAGTGCAACACATGACGGTGTGAAGGCCCTCATAAATACTTATGTCGTGGGCGCCTGGGTGGCTCGGTTGGTTAAGCGACTGCCTTCAGCTCAGGTCATGATCCTGGAGTCCCGGGATCGAGTCCCACATCCGGCTCCCTGCTCAGCAGGGAATCTGCTGCTCCCTCTGACCCTCTTCCCTCTCGTGCTCTCTCTCTCATTCTCTGTCTCAAATAAATAAATAAAATCTTTAAAAAAAAAAAAATACTTATGTCGTGGGCACCTGGGTGGCGCAGTCGTTAAGCGGCTGCCTTCAGCTCAGGTCATGATCCCAGGGTCCTGGGATCGAGTCCCACATCGGGCTCCCTGCTCAGCGGGAAGCCTGCTTCTCCCTCTCCCACTCCCTCTGCTTGTGTTCCTGCTCTCGCTGTCTCTGTCTCTGTCAAATAAATAAATAAACTCTTTAAAAAAAAAAAAAATACTTATGTCGTGTCTGACCTGCACTGCTGAGGGTAAACGAAAGGAAATCCTCTGTGGAGATGCCAATAGAGGCAGACAGGCACACAGGCCGACAAGCACAGGTAGTAATAATTATTACAAAGAAGAGAAAGAAACATAATGCAGTAGACTGATGAGGGGGTGGCTACTTCATTTTGGGTAATCAGGAAAGGACTGCCTGACCCGAATAGGAATGAGTTAGCAGGCTGCCTTTCTCAGTTAGAGAAAATGCCCTACATCTGCTGCTAGCTGTCTTCATTACAAATTCCCCTCAAATCTATCCGAAACTCCTCCTCTTCTGAACTCCTCTTCTGTCAGGTATTTTTACTCTGTAGTAATTTTTTGTTCCACAGTTATTCCAACTGTCTTTTTGTTTTTCATCAACCAAAATAAAAGTTAATTTAGGGTTAGGACTGCACTTGATTTTCCTTTGGCAGCCCTCACAGAGTGCCAAGTTGATAGGCCTCTATCTAGTATAACTTGATTTTCATCACTTAGAACCCCAAACATTTGTCAGTTTCTTACGTATTCTGACGGCCTACCCTGTTCTTTCCAGATTCTTTTCTCCTCTAGTAATCTTTTTGGGAGTGACCTTTGATTAAAAAATTTAACGTTTTAGGAATCAATAACATTCAAAGATGTGATTGTGGAATTCAGCGAGGAAGAGTGGGGACAACTGGACCCTTCTGTGAAGACCTTGTACAGGGATGTGATGCTGGAGAACTACAGGAACCTGAATTCAGTGCATCAAGGTGGCTTCTGTGTATTTACCTCCTCTGCCTGTCAGTGGTCTCTTCACCTGCTGCTAAAAACTAGAAGACGACTGCACCGGTTAAGGGCACTTGGGTTTGGGTTTCCTAATATCCTTTGGGCACGATCGCAGATTTTCCTGCTGTGTATCTGAGTGGAAGTCCTTTCTGTTGGAGAGCTAGATGTACACAGATCCGTGGTGACCGCTGGCCTTATCTTTCAGCAGCTCTTAGAGAACTACTGAGGGATGGAATCTCTTCCCTATAAAAATGGCTGAGGTGTCTGTTTGTTGTTTTTTCATTTTCCCCATGAACAGAACATCTACTTTACAAGCCAGTTGAGATCTCCAAGCTGGAGAGTAAGGAAAGAAGATGGGCAGTGGAGCAAGAAATCCCAAGCACATCTGTTTTGGGTAAGAACCAGGCAGATATGAGGCAGCCATAAGAAGCTTCTGTTTGTTAAACACACAGTGTACTGTTAACAGCCTTCGAGTAAGAGTTGGGGAGGTGATGACAAAACCGCCGAAGCTTTGAAGGAAAAAAGTCACATTGCCTTTCATTCACAGATTCTTTTTCTTCAGTGGATAGGCAAAAGAATGTTGCAGGTGATGGGCGCCTGGGTGGCTCAGTCAGTTGGGCGACTGCCTTCGGCTCAGGTCATGATCCTGAAGTCCTGGGATCGAGTCCCACATTGGGCTCCCGGCTCAGCAGGGGGCCTGCTTCTCCCTCTGACCCTCTCCCCTCTCATGCTGTTTCTCACTCTCTCTCTCTCAAATAAATAAATAAAATCTTAAAAAAAAAAAAAAAAGAATGTTGCAGGTGAGGAACACAGACGCTTTTAAAGCTCTGTGGCCCAGAGCAGCCTACCTGCCATTCTCCTCATCTGTAACATGGAGTTAAAAACAGTACTTACCTCCACGTTCCTGTGAGGCTTACGTGAGTCATATGGGTAGCACCCTTAGAACGGTGCCTGGCATGTGGTTAGTGCTACGTAAACAAACATTAGCCAACCCAGCATGAAATCATATTCTTTCTTTTAAAGAAAACTTTATACAGAGTGACTTTAGTAATCTTCGTTTTTCCATTTTTCCTTCGTTTACTATCGAACTTCTTGTGCCCTAACTTTCTACCTTCATGTAATCTCTTTGTTCTTATTAACATTTTGTTTGTGGGAGATGATCAGTTATTGTGTGCTTAATGTAAATTTTAGTACATATAGAAAAGTATGAAGAGGAATAGAGCTCACCCCTTACCTCACTCCCCAGAGCTATGCAGTATTAACATTTTGATTTATTTTCTTAGACTTTTTTCTTTGTGATGATGTGTCTCTGTGGCTTGTGAAGATTTGTTTTTTTCCAAAATTGGGATCATCAGGGATATGTCACTTTATATTCTGCTCTTCTCACCTAATGTGATACCATAGGCAATTACCTGTGTCACTAAATAGTGTGTGAAAATGTGGTTTCTAATTCACATGTAACATGCCATTGTATACATGTATCATAATATGTTTAACCATTCCCCCTCAGCTGTTGGACATTCAGGTTGTTGCCAAGTTTTCAGGCATATCTGATAAGTTCTACATAAGATATACCTTGTTAGAAGAGAAACTTCAGCATCAAAGGGCATGAATATATTTAACAGTCTTGTTACATTGTGCTGTATTGTCTACAGAAAGGTTATACCAATCCACACTGTCACTAATAACGTATTATCTATTTATTATTATCAGTCTAGCACCCTATTGTTTACCTGAAATCTTTTTTGATTTGATAGCCAAATTATTCAATTTCTTCCTTTCTAAGGTAAAGTCCTCCACCCACCCACCCTTTTCCTTTGGACCCCATTTCTCCCTGCCTTCTTTCACTTACGTTTTTACCATTTCTGCCTCATCTTCCCAATAGTTTTTCAACACTTTCAGGTCATTACTGATTTAAAAAATTTTCTTCAACATATTACCCTATTTCTCACCTCTTTATAGCCAATCTTCTCAAAATATTTTTTACTTTTCTCATTTCCTCACCTGTTCCTCACCCCATTCCAGTTTAGTTCTTATTCCAGATCTCCATCTGAAACAGTCCTTACTAAGGTTGTAGAAGACTTTCTTGTAGCTAAGTCCAGTGGATATTTTTTCATTCCTTGTCTTACATTACCTGCTCCTCACTCTTAAAACACTCGTAGGTTCTTATAGTGCATCCTATTTTCCTCCTCTTTCTGGCCTTTCTCTCTCAGTCTGGTGGAGACTTCTCTTTCTCTAGCTCTAATTTCAGAGTTTCTCGACATGTGGTCTCATATTGTCTTCTTTTCTTACTCTCTTTTCTTCTCTAGGTTATCACATCCACAACTGCAGCTTCACTTACTACACACGTGTAGGTGACTTACAAATTTGTGTCCCCAGCCCAGGCTTCTCCGAATTGAAAAATTTATAGACACGTGACATTTCTCTTGGATGTCTTAAAGATGACTCCAGCTCTACAAAACCAAAATCTTAACTTTTTCCTTTCCAGTCTTCCTCCACTGTTCCCTGAGCGAATGGCACTGCCATCCATCCAGTTACACAAGTATAGTGTATTATCCTTGACACAACTTCTCCTTCACTTAAGACTTGGTTTTATCTTTCTAAATATCCCTTGAATGTCTCCACTTCTTTCCATCTGTAGTGCCACTACCCTAGTCCATGTGCCATCACCGTCTCTCATCTCAGCAATCCCTGCAGTCTCTTAATTCATTGTACTGAAAGATCTTGCCATGCCTCTTTGCTCTTTTCCCCAACTCCAGTGTTTGGGCCACATTGCAATCAAAAAGATCAAATTCTGTCACGTACTTGCTTAAATCACTATGCTGACTGCGGTTTTGCTTGCTTCAGAACACACTAGTCCCTATTTTTCCAATCTCGCCTCACACTGCATCCTCCCCTCACTCTTTGCACACAAACCACACCGCTCTGCTTCCCATCAGCATCAAATATGTATTAGCATCTCCTGGGTCCTAAGCACTCTGATAGGTGTTGGAGGACTGCAGAGAAAACAGTTCCACAAGACACACATTCCAGATGTCCCTTGAGTGGGGCTTGCCCTCCATCTCAGGGCCTCTGTACATGTGGTTTCCTTACATAAAATGCTTGTTCTTCTATTCTTTGCCTGGTTGATTCCTCATCTTCCTTCTGATCTCAAAGAGTTTCACATTTCCTCAGGGAAGTCTGTCTTGATTCGTTTTTTTCTGTTATATTCTCCCATACGACCATAATCTTACGTTTTTAGCATTTATCACAATTATATTTTGCTTGCATCTGTTTAAGTCTTTGTCTCCCACATTAGGCTTTATGTTCCTTGAGGGTAGGGACCGTGTCTCTTTTTGCCCTACCTTTATATCTCAAGCTTTTGCACATTGATAGGAACCAAAGGAAAAAACTGGATAGATAAATATTGGATTATGAGAAAGGTAAAAATTATCTTACTTGTTTTGGTCATTTGTGATTCAGTAAATGGTTTTATGTCCTTTATTAAGACTTTAGAGGTTTTTAAGTAAGATCTCATGGAAATTCCCACTATTGATCACAGTTACAGCAAATGAAATATCGCTGAAGTTTTTTTATTATTTTGTTTATGGTGCCTGCCATACATATTTTTAAATTTATTTTATCACGTATCTTCCCCCCAGTGCTTTCTATCTGTTAGTTCTAGGCATAAGAATTTTTCCATACCCAAAGTAGAAATATAGTTCCTGATTTTATTCTGATTTCATCTATTTCCTCATTTAAGTAATACTTAAGTCAATCTGGAATTTACCTAGAATTTACCTCAGTAAATGTAGCTTATTTACCAAAACAGTTAATAGACTATAGTGGATTAAAGGTGGCTACAGAATCTTTGTCACTCTCTCCATCAAGATGTAGCCTTTGTACACCTGAAGCTAATGTGACACTGTGTGTCAGCTATACTTCAGTTAGAAAAAAAAAGAGGCAGACTTTGTTTGCCCACCCTTTGAATCTCAGTGGACTGTTGGATCAAGAAAATGGAGCAGGGGTGACACTGCCGGTTCCAGGTCTAGCCTGTAATAGGACCTGGAGCTGCCACTTCTTTCTCTTGGAAGTTAGCAGCCACTACTTCAGCTAGCTTGACATTGCCGTTTGTGAGAAGCCCAGCGTAGTCACATGAAATGTACATACATACACATATGTTCTTTAAAGGCTCATCAGATGATCAAAGGCACATCTAGATTTAAGTGCTAATGACCCAAGGTTATTATAAACAGTTTAAGGTAAATTTGGATAGAGAATATAAAACCAAATTTTGGACAGCTTAATAATTAACTGGTCAAAACCTGTGAAAAAAGAATCCTGTGGATTTTAATCTGTAAACACAGATAAGCCATTGGAATGATTTGAGAAGTTGGGGGGAAACTCACATAGGCCAAGGAAAGGCAGAGATGGTTTGGCATGGCTGGTCTCCAGGGGAGTTGTGAGCAGACACCCAGGATTGGGATGATAGGCTAAGGTTTAAAGTGTTCATTTTTGTTTCAGTTTAGAGACAGGAACAAAGTCTTGTAGGTAAAGCATAGTTTGTGAGTTTGGGATTAATAGGAATAAGACATTGACTCAAAATCTGTTTAGTGCAAAAGGCGAACAAATCATGGGTGTAAAGATAAACAGTGGTGTTTCCACTAAAATCAGTAGATAAGACTGTACCTATAATTATTTAATGTTAACCTGAAAGACGTCACTGATAAATGAAAAAAAATGAGAAATTTAATTAGTAGAAGAGAGGAAAAAAGGCTATTATTTGTAAACGGTAACTTTCTACTTAGAAAATCCAAGAAACTCATTGTCAAAACTATTACATCTGTTAAGAGTTTTGTAAGGTGGCCAGATATAAAATAAAAATATTGGTAGCTTTCCTAGATGTTAGAACTAAGTGATTTGAAAATAACAAAATACATGAAAGTGACTTTAAAAATAGGAGTAAAGAAGTTATATGAAAAATGAGTTCTAGAAATATGAGAACATCAGGAATTTGCTTAGAGAAATACATTTAGGAATTCTGTCACTCAGTAAATAATTCTGGAACAACTTCTGTTTCAGTGACCTATTAATAGTTTCTAACAAATTGCCCCAAAACTTACTGACTTGAAACAGCAATCATTTTATTAATTCACAATTTTGTGAGTTGACCTAGGAGTTCTCAGGATCCATATGATGTTGACTGAGGATACAGTGTTCTGCTGGGATGCAGTGGTCAAGATGGCTCATCACATGGCTGGAAGTTGATGCTGGCTGTCACTGGGAACTTGGGCCCTGTGGACCAGAGCACCTTCATGTGGCCTCTTCTTTTTTTTTTTAAAGATTTTATTTATTTATTCATGAAAGACAGAGAGAGAGAGAGAGAGACACAGAGGGAGAAGCAGGCTCCCAAGGAGCAGGGAGCCCGACACGGGACTCGATCCCAGGACCCTGGGATCATGACCTGAGCCGAAGGCAGACGCTTAACCATCTGAGCCACCCAGGCGCCCCATGTGGCCTCTTCTTGAGGCATGGACTTCTCATAGCATGCCAGCCAGGTTCTGGGACTATCCTGAGAGGAATTCAGAATTGTCAGTCTCCTAAAGGCCAGGCCCAGAAGTGGCATGGTATCACTTCTACCATATTCTGTTGGCTAAGCAGTCACAGATGTAGCCCATTTGCAAGAGGAAGAAAAACCCCACTTCTCTATGGGAGGGTGCCAAAGAATGTACATCTATTTCTTTTTATTACTCAAGTATAATTAATATATGGTGTTATGTTAGTTTCAGTTGTACAATATAATGATTCAACAGTTCTGTACATTACTCCGTGTTCATCGTAAGTGTCTTCTTAATCCTCTTCTCCTGTCCTCACCTCTCCCCCCACTCACCTTCCCTCTGGCAAGCACCAGTTTGTCCATTATATTTAAGACTCTCTTTCTTTACACACACACACACACACACACACACCCCTATATATATCATATCTTCTTTATCCATTCCTCTATGAATGGACATTGTGGTCGCTTCTGTATTGTAAATAATTCTGCAGTAAACATAAGATTGCATATATCTTTTTGAATTAGTGTTTTCATTTTCTTTGGGTAAAACCCACTAGTGGAATTCCTAGATCATACAGAATTTCTATTTTTAATTTTTTGAGGAACCTCCATACTGTTTTCTACAGTGGCTATACCAGTGTGCATTCCAACCAACAGTGCAAGAGGGTTCCTTTTTCTCCACATCCTTGCCAACACTCTTATTTTTTGTGTTTCTGATTTTAGCCATTCTGAGCAGTGTGAGATGATATCTCATTGTGGTTTGGATTTACATTTCTCTGATGATGAGTGATGTTGAACATTGTTTCATGTATCTGTTGGCCATCTAATGTCTTTTTGGGAAAAATGTCTATCAGGTCCTCTGCACATTTTTTTAATTGGATTGTTTTTTCGTGTTGAGTTTTATAAGTTCTTTATTTTGGATTCTAACCCTTTATTGGATATATCATTTGAAAATATCTTCTCCCATTCAGTAGGTTGTTTTTATTTTGTTGATAGTTTCCTTCACTGTGCAAAAGATTTTTACTTTGGTGTAGTCTCAATAGTTTCCTTTTGCTTTTGTTTTCCTTGCCAAAGGAGACATATCTAGAAAAATATTGCTATGGCCAATGTCAGAGAAATTACTGCCTATGTTTTCTGTTAGGAATTTTATGGTTTCAGGTCTTGCATATGGGTCTTTAATCCATTTTGAGTTTATTTTTGTATATAGTGTAAGAAAAGGGTCCAGTGTCATTCTTTTGCATGTAGCTGTCTAGTTTTCCCAACACCATTTGTTGAAGAGACTTTTTTTTCCCATTGTATATTCTTGCCTCCTTTGTCATAGATTGATCATAAAGCTGTGGGTTTATTTCTGGCTCTCTGTTTTGTTCCATTGATCTACGTGTCTTTTGTTTTTTGTTGTTTTTTTTTTATGCCAGTACCATTCTGTTTTGATTACTACAGCTTTGCATAGTATGTCTTGATACCTCCAATTTTGTTCTTCTTTTTCAAGATTGGGTTTCGCTATTCAAGGTCTTTCTTGGTTCCATACAAATTTTAGGATTCTTTGTTCTAGTTCTGTGAAAAGTGCTGTTGGTATTTTGATAGGGATTGCATTAAATATGTAAATTGCTTTGAGTAGTTTGGAAATTTTAACAATACTGGTTCCCCCAATCCATGAGTGTGGAATATCTTTCCATTTCTTAGTGTCATCTTCAATTTCTTTCATCAGCGTTTTATAGTTTTCAGAGTATAGGTCTTTGACTCTTGGCTAAATTTATTCCTCTGTTTTTTATATTTTTTTCTATTTTTGATTTAGATTCAACTTAACATATACTATATAATTAGTTCCAGAGGTAGAATTTAGTAATTCATCAGTTTTGTACAACACCCAGTGCTCATTACTTCAGGTGCCCTCCTTAATGCCCATCACCCAGTTACCCCATCCCTCCACCCACCTCCTCTACATATTTTATTCTTTTTTGGTGCAGCTGTAAATGGGACTGTTAGCTTCCTCCCCCCCCTCCCCTTCCCTCCCCTCCTCTCCCATTGGGATTGTTTTCTTAATTTCTCTTTGTGCTACTTCATTTTAAAGTATAGAAATGCAACAGATTTCTGTATATTTTGTATCCTGCAACTGTACTAAATTAATTTATCAGTTCTGGTAGTTTTTTGGTGGAGTCTTTAGGATTTTTTTTATATAGTATCATGTCATCTGTAAATAGAGTTTTACTTTTTATTTACCAATATGAATGCCTGTTATTTCTTTTTCTTGTCTGATTGCTGTTGCTAGAACTTCCAGTACGATGTTGAATGACAGTGGTGAGAGTGGACATCCTTGTCTTGTTCCTGATCTTAGAGGAAGAGCTCTCAGTTTTTCCCCCTTTGAGTACAGTGTTAGCTGTGGGTTTTTTATGAATGTGCAGCCATTTTGATCTACTATAGTCTGTGCTCTGGCCACAAATTATTTCTTTTATTTTTTCCCCCTTGTTAAATACATTTACTGTCTCCTAAGAGACCTCGTATGGCATCAGGCTTGAAGTCCAGGATCTTACCATCTAAATTAAATTAGGTCTAGGTTTGAAGAGGTTTCTCTCTCACTGAAGACCTGTGAATTAAATTACAGGTTATCTGCCTACACACCCAGTATACACTGGTGAGGCAGAAACAGGGAAACTACAGTCAGTACTCTATTATATTCCTATGCTCTGCTCTAGGAGATTGTTTTAATAGTCTAGTTTCCAGTGTGAGTATTATACAGACAGATAATTTCTGCTAGAAATTAGACTAAATCAGGCTGAATTAATAGGTATTTGACAAAGTTGGATGCATCAGTGGGGCTGCTTTGAGGCAAAAGTCATTTCATAAAATAATAGTATCTCAGGGCAGATTAGATACAAGGGATAAAGAGCAATGTTTATTCAAGATCTCTTTGTGGACTCTAGTGTAAATATTAGGAGAACAATGACTCACTGAACAACTGAGGACATTGAGGGAAGTTCTTTCTACATGAAAGAGGAAATTCTCAGTCTCATTTGTTGAGTTGGAAGAGAGTAGTAGGATAGCCAAGTGGCATTGTCTTGGAGACAGGTAAAAAAAAAGAATATGTGAGGGCGCTTGGGTGGCTCAGTTGGTTGAGCAACTGTCTTCAGCTCAGATCATGATCCTGGAGTCCCGGGATCGAGTCCTGCATCGGGCTCCCTGTTCAGTGGGGAGTCTGCTTCTCCCTCTGACCCTCCCTGCTCTCATGCTCTCTGTATCTCATTCTCTCTCTCAAATAAACAAAATCTTAAAAAAAAAATATGTGAGATACAAAGCTGAAGATGTGTTTTGGCTTCCAATAAAGTGTAGAAGTAAAGCATTAGATAAAGCTGAAGTTACGTGCGGAAGGATAATGGGAGTCAGTGAAATTTAGTTATTAAGAAATTGCTAGAATATATAGTATACTGGACATATTTATACAGAAACTAAGTGAGAAAGGAATTTTGAGAAGGAAAGTAAGACATTAAATGAAACAAACTGAAGACGGGTGAAAACAAGAGAACTGAATCTTACCTGGAACAGGTAAAATTTTGAGTTCTAGGAAATACACAGAAAAATAACATAGCACCGTTAGAATCAGGAGCAATTTTGAGCCCAGGAAAAGGGGTGGTTTCTTTGCTACTTCTGATTATAGTTTTTTCTTTCTGCCTTTGTTAAATATGGGCAATAATTGCAGCTTGTATGGAAAATAGAAGCACTGATTGCAAGTTTGTTGTAGCTGGTTAAGATGTGGTGCCTGTAAATGTAGACATGTTTTTAAAGATATGATTAAATTGCTATTTTAGAAGGGTGTATTTATTATTGATGAACAGCATAGGTTAACAGAGACAAAGACAAGATGCTAGAGAAAGGAAGGTTAGGTATAACCCACACAGACTAGTTACGAACCAGTAATAATTTGAACTATGATATGCCACCCTATCCCAGTTCATATGCTGGATATTTTCCCAAGCCCTATGTATTCTCTCTAATATTCCTGAATAGCTCTCATATTTTATGATCTCCTAACTTCCCTTTTAATACTTTTATCCCTTTTATTTCTTCTGTAATTCTCCTTTTTCTAATCTCACCTCACATTTCCATTCTGTATTTAAGGCCTATAAATATGCATATTCCCTTATGTGGTTTAGCATCCCTTTCCTAATTAAACAATTTCCCTTCTTCTAGTTCATGGAATTTTTTATTTCTTTTTAGACAGAGAGGTAATTTCAGAAAACCAAGATTCAGTTCCAAAGCAGAGAATTTCTGGAAAAGAATCACCTCCTGGAGTGATTATGACAAGACCAACCAAAAGCGGAGCCCCTTCTTTAGATGCTTGGATGAGCAATGATTGGTTATATAGGAACCAGGAACACTGGGACATAAATTTGCCAGAAGAAGCTTTTGTTCATAAGACAGTCAACACTGAGGTGGGAAACTTTGAAGGTAGTGAGAATAAGAAAAGTTTAGATGTTAAGTCAGTTAATTCAATTTTGGGTATACAACAAGGAATTCCTATGAGAAAAGAGTCCTCAAAATGTGGTAAGTTTAAAACTAACTTCAAATTTAATGTAGACTCAGGTAAGCAATATTCAGAATATAATGAATGCGGGAATGCCTTGAGCCTGAGTATAGATATTCATCACCCAGAAAGTCATACCTTAGTGAATTCCTATGAATGCTATCAATGTGGGAGAGCCTTCAGCCGGAGTTCATCCCTCATTCGACATCAGATCATTCACACAGGAGAGAAACCTTATAAATGTAGTGAATGTGGGAGATTCTTCAACAGACGTACAAACCTTACTAAGCATCAAAAAATTCATACTGAAGCAAAGGTCTGTGAAGGCAATAAATGTAGAAAAGCTTTCAGTGAGACTGAAGACAGTAATAAAAATTCAAGACTTCATTCTGGAGATAATCCCTACGAATGTGTTAACTGTGGAAAATCCTTCAGCCGAAGCTCTTCCCTTATTCGACATCAAATGATTCATACAGGAGAGAAACCATTCAAATGTAAGGAATGTGAGAAAACTTTCAACAGGAGTTCAAACCTTAAAAAACACCAAAAACTTCATACTCAAGAGAAGTCCTGTAAAAGGAAGAAATCCACGATTACCTACATCAATGAATTTATACTAGAGGGAATCCTGTGAATAGAGTAAATGCAAGAAAACATTGGTCAGGGATTCTTCTTTAATTGATATGACAGAATTAATATTGGAGAGAAATCTGTTATTGGGTAGGAATATGTTCCCAAATGAAGCCACAAGGGTTTGGAGTTAAATGTATCACCATACAAGTCTTTGCCTATCATTATTCCGATATCCATTGCCATCATCATTCCTAGTTCATAAATGGGACCTATGGCATCCTTATATTCACATGATTTATTGACGTAGATATTAGGGAGGAGCCAAGCAATACCCTTGGAATTGATATTTAATAAAACTCAAACTTTCAGTCCTTACAAGAAGGTCATGAGAAACCAGGAGCTCACAAGAATATAGGAATACTTCTAAGGACTGAACTTTCTGAATTAATGGCAGAGACCACAGGAGTGGCAAATTACTCCATGATAGTATCCTTGGCCGTCCTGGTGCTGAGTGGGGACTAGAATTGGGGGAGGGTTATCAACTGCAGTGGGAAGTGGATTCTATATATAGTTGTCAAATCTGCATTTTTAAAAGTACTCTTTGGGATCTAGGCCCAAGGGACATCCATAGTCTTGGGTCTGTCATTTATTCCAAACATTAAGAGGTCAATAAAGTGTCTTAATACTCTGTGCACTAGTTTCCTCTTTGTTCTGTAAGTTATTTCTGTAAGTTACCTTTGAGATCCTGAGCCAAGAAATTTATCTTTAATCTGCCCCCAAATATTCATATTGGAGAGATTCCCAATGAATGAGGATGGTGGCTTTTGGTTAAAGCTCATATCTTACTCAAAAACAGAAAAAGTATACTGGAGTGTGAACACTTACAATTAGTTAATGTGCAAAATTATTCTATGTTCATTTGTTCTATGGTTTCAGGTCTTTAATCTATTTTTTATTTAATTTTTGTGTGTGGTATAAGAGTGGTCCATTTTCATCCTTTTTTGCATGTGACTGTCCAGTTTTCCCAACACTGTTTATTGAAGGGACTATCCTTTCCCCATTGTATATTCTTGGCTCCTTTGTAGCAAATTAATTAACCACCTATATATGAGGGTTTATTTCTGGGCACTCTGTTCTCTTCCATCGATCTATGTGTCTGTGTTTACGCCCGTACCATACTGTTTTGGTTACTATAGCTTTGTAATATAGTTTGAAGTCAGGAAGTGTGATACCTCCAGCTTTGTTCTTCTTTCTCAAGATTGCTTTGACTGTTCAGGGTCTTTTGTGGTTCCGTACAAATTTTAGGATTTTTTTTTTCTGTGAAAAATGCCATTGGGATTTTGATAGGGATTGCACTGAATCTGTAGATTCTTTGGATAATGTGGACATTTTAACAGTATTCTTCTAAGCCATGAGCATGGAAGATCTTCCTTATTTGTGCCTTCTTGTTAAGTTTATCCATAGGTATTTTATTCTTTTTATGCAGTTACAACTGCATACCTATGGATAAATTCAACCAAGGAGATGAAGGATCTGTACATTGAAAACTATCAGACATTGATGAAAGAAACTGAAGAAGGCACAAATGGGAAGATCTTTGCCATTCAGCCTCAGTGCAGGGAATGGCCCACTGTCTAATCTCAAAAACCTGCCCCCTGTCTCTGTGCCCATACACCATATCCCATGAATTACTAAGGCATTCTGCTAGTTATATATTTATTCGTTTTCATTGTTCCGGAAGTTTAGCTGGGCACATAGCCACCCAACTTTAAATTTTTCTCTGTTAGTAAGTCCTGGTCGATGGGATGTGAACAGAAGTGATGTAAGTCACTTCCAAGTCTTGCCCTTCAAGCAGCTAGGCATCATTCTATTCTCCTGACACCTTTCCCTCTCCCTGCTGGCTGGAGAACTGTGAAAACTGTTGTAACTGCAGTGGACTACAAGTGGAAGCCAGTATTAGGAATGGAATCCTGGGCCACCCATCTACCTCCAGATGGTTAGAAAGAAACTTCAGTCATGTGGAAGCTCCTGGTTTTGTTGTTTTCTTTTGTACCACAGGTTGCCCTCTACCCTTAGTTAATATGCTCACCAAATCTTCACTCTTCCTTGTATCTCTCTGCATATATCCCTACTGGTGCTATATTTATATTCTGGTTACTATCCTTTCTCTCACATTACTTCAACTCGCGTCTCTGCCTTGAAATTCTGTAAAATGCTGGTAGAGGATCTTTTTGAAATACAAATTTTGATTATTGCACACAAATGCTTAAACCTTTCAAATACTCCCCCGTGAACTTTTAGGTGAAATCTAAACTCTGAAACGACTTACCTTGGCTTTCATATTCTAATGTTCTCTTGCACCACACCCTTTGTACTCCATGTGTCAGCCATGCAGCAGCTTCCCGCTTCCCATCCACCGCGTGTGCTTAGCTCTAGGGTTATCCATATATTTCCTATTCATGGAGACCTCATCATCTAGCTAATTTTCACTCCTTCAAGTTTAACTAGATTTCTTTCTCTAGAAAGCTACCTCTGACAACCAAAGACAGAAAATCTTTGTACTAAATTCCACATACTTATACGTTTACAGCACTTATGGGAATTCTATTACAATTATTTATTGGATTGTATTCCCTAACTACTTAGTATGACTTGGGGGGACAATTAGTCTGTAAGAAGCATACTGGCTGGCAACAAATAGTATTGAATGTGAGTAGGAGATAGACCTGACCACTTATTTTTTACATCTCAGTGTAAAACGATTTAACCAAAGACATGTTTTTTAAAGATATTATTTACTTAGTGCGTGAGCGGGGGTGAGGCACAGAGGCAGAGGGAGAGAGAGAATCCCAAGCCGATTGCACGCAGAGCATGGAAACCTATGAGGGACTTGATCTCAGGACCCTGAGATCATGACCTGAGCCAAAATCAAGAATCTCATGCTTAACCAACTGAGCCAGCCAGGTGCCCCTCTCCAAAGACATTTTTAAATGAATACTAATGATCCCACCACTATAACATCAGTACTTTTTTCAAATTTTTATATATTAAGATTTTATTTATTTGAGAGAGAACACATGAGAGGGAGTAGGGTCAGAGGGAGAAGCAGACTCCCTCCTGAGCAGGGAGCCTGATGTGGGACTCCATCCTGGGACTCCAGGATTATGACCTGAGCCGAAGGCAGTCCCTTAACCAACACAGAAAAAAACAAATTTGTGTATTTCTTTGAATAAAAAAAATACTTTGTTGTTCACACTGAATTAGGATGGAATTATGATTAGTGGCCCCTAACGGGGCTCTATTTGCTATCATCTTCATAGGTGTGAGCTTTGAATTTAGTAATTTACCAATACCAGTTCTGCTCTATCAGTCTTCTCCAGGTACTCCTTGATATCCAAGTTGTTTATTCTTGCCCCCATTACTTCATTTTGATCTTGTAATGGCTGAAATAGGCTATTACAAAAAAAAAGATACACAGTTGTCATAGACATTAACAATGTACCAGTCTAGCAAGTGAGGAAAATCGTATTAGTTACAGAATTTTCCTTTACATCTTCGTTGAGGCAAAGTGGTAACATCTCAGTGGGTTTGACTTACGAAAATGTGTAAGAGGGGGAGGGGCCGGAGAAGAGTGTAAGGACAGTCCCTTTTGCAGTCTTATGAGACCACTTCTCTAGGAGAGACACTATAAAGTGATCCGAACTCCCACATCCTTAAGGAATTAGATGGATTCCAAACTCCTCCCGTCATTTCCAGAATAAAATGCGCCTGGCTCAGCCCCTAGTGGTTTGAGCTCACTGTAGGCAGTCCCAAGAGCTGAAAGAAGTTACGGTAAGTGCGATTCTACAATTCGTAGCTTCATCCTATCAACAAAAACAAATCAAGCCTAAACCTCTGCTTGCCCTGGAAGGGCCTCTAGTGTGAGAGGTCAGGGCAGGCTGGAAGGTTCGAACGGTCAGCCCACCACAACAATAGTACTCAACTCCATCCCTAAAGGACTCTCGAGCCAAGGTAGCCTTAAGGTTTTTATCCTGGCCGGAAGACACCGCCCCCGTGGGGCCTGGGCGGGACAGGAAAACCGGAAGTGGGACGTCACGGAGCCTGCGTGGTGGTCTGCGGCTGCGTCCGTCCTCCTGCGCAAGCGCGATGGGGTTCAGCTGGCTGGGTCGGTTTATCACCTCTACCTTTTGTCTCCACTCTGCGGTCCTGGAATTGACAAGGTTTCCCGGGAAAACCGGGTAACCGTTCTGACTTTTGGGCTTCTCTTCTCTTGCACTTGTTATTGGAAGTGTACCGAGACCTCTAGTCCCCAGTGCCATAAAAGCCGTTGCCATATGGTGTCTGAAGACTTAGTGGTTTCCTGCCGGCTGGGCCTCTCCACTTGGTGTGTTCGGGCTAATCGCGAACCGTTTTGAGCCACGATTTCTCTTGACTATAGCGTGCACTTACTAGGACCTTTCTTGAAGTGACTGTGAAATTAAAATGACATTAAACTGTTAAGATTTCGCAGAGTGTGCTGTGAAAATATTTTATTATGTGGTATGCACTATTCTAGAGTTCATTAGGGGACTTGTTAATTCAACCTCTAATTTACAGCTAAGGGTACTTAAACTCCGAGAAGTCAAATGATTGTCCCAATACCATGCCATCTATAAAAGTCAGACCCTAGGTTAAACTTAGTCTTTTAGATCTTTGAGCCACAGTGCTTCTTACTGTTCACCAGGAATTTTTTCAAAAAAATGTTAAAGTTAGAATTCATTTGACAATTAACGGTAATGTTTAGTGAAAGACACCTGTACAAATGACTCATAGCAGTACGTATTATAAGTTCTAGAACCTGCGAAGATGAACAAAAACACACGCTAGTGTTACTTTACCTTTTGGAGTGGATCGCATAAGCCTAATACTATATTCAATAGGTATTAAGATCTAACTAATTTGGTAGGCATTTCTGGCAGATTTGCCTGACTCTTGATAGTTGGCCTGATGACAGTCTGCATTACTCCTAGTTCACACTGACCCAGTGATTATTAATTTGACATTAGGTGGAAATATACCTTC